GGGGAAGGAGACAAAAGGAAGGAGGAGGAGGAAGAGGAAGAAGAGGTGGAAGAAGAAGAAGAAGAAGAGGAAGAAGAAGAGGAAGAAGAATCAGACCAAGAAGTTCTCCCTTAGCCATAGATATATCTACTGCCAGTCCAGTGGTGGGATTCTACCAGTTTCCCTACCCGTTCACTTCACATGTGTGTGTGCGCATGCAGCTTTCCAAACACCAGCTGAGGTTCTGCTGTGCCAATCAGCAGAGAGGATAAAGAACAGAAAATCGCAAGTGGACCAGTGGGAGGGCCGATCTTGCACTTTTCTTCCTCCTCTCAGCTGATCATCAAGGTTTTTTTTTACTAACAGTTTGGCCGAACAGCTATCAATTTTTGCTACCGGTTCAAGTGAACCGGGCCAAACCGGTAGCATTTCACCACTGTGCCAGCCCCTTTCCTTCTCAGCCTCAAATGTCTTGCAGGGTTACCAATATGGACATATTCATGAGAGACCCTTCCTCCCCATGTTCCCTTGAACCTATCATCCCCCGGGGGGTGGGGGGGAGTCAGGAAAATCAAGATGGCATCTCCGACGCCATTCCTTTCGACGGGGGTCGTTGAGCACAGGTGTTGGGATTCCGGGAGTTACTCCAATTAAATCCTGAGTCTCGAGCCAAACTTCAAAAGGATTTATTGGGAGTTAACATGTCCGGCACTGCCTGGGCGTAACCAACTCTGAGGCACATCATTCATTGTCACCCTTGACCCAGGTTTTCCCTCCATCCCTCTGGGTGTGTCGTAATCCATATTCTCCAATGGGACACCTCCATAGCCCAGAGTCATCCATCAGGCTCTCCAGTTAGAATTTTGCAGAGCAGAAACTTCAGTCACCTCGTTACTATCTTTGAAAACATTTATGGAATGCACTTTCAGTTTGCAAGCTGCCACACTGCTCTTTCCCCGCTCCCTTTCTATTGGCAACTCTAAAAGACAATAGAAATATTTTATGTGTTGACAACAGGGTTGTGACCGCCATTTTGGTTTTCTTCTCTCCCGCCCCCCTCCATTTCCTGTAGATCCCTGTGTCTGTCCCAAAATGGCAGTGTGGATGAAAGGACCAGAGAAACGGTGGCGTCATCCCAAGACCCCTTGTGGACAGCAAAGTTTAAAGAAGAGGAAGAATCCCTTTGGTGAGGAATGGGAGGAAACCTCGCCTACCAAATGGGGTTTAATCTTTGATTCTTCCTGGAGTACTTCTAAAGTCCTGCTGATCCAGCTGTTCCTGTACGGATGAAACCTCGGCGGGCGATACAGATCGAAGAGGACCAGTTTGTTGGCCTTGTCCGCAAGGGTCAGAAATTCACTCAGTTTGAAAATGGTCTGGCTCTTGGCCAGCTCTTCATCCTCGGCGGAGAAGGGAGGCATGTGATAGAAGGGTTTGTTCTAGGTTTGAAGGAGGGTGGGGGAGAAATATACAGCAATCAGGCAGTATTAGATCTTTTTTAAAAATAAATAAATAAAACCCAAAGCGCTATTCCAAAGGTGCTTTTTGCAGGAGGCAACTGGACTTTCTTGTTTATTTGTTGAAGACGTTTCGCTTCTCATCTGAGGATTTTCTTCACCTCTGAGTGGATGGTACCTGTATCTATATCTATATATCTGTATCTGTTTCTATATATCTATTATAGCTATATTTATATCTTTATCTATTATATCTATATATCTATATCTCTCTATCTAATCTATCTCTATATCTATCTATATCTATTATCCATCCATCCATCTAATCTCTATCTATCTATCTATCTATCTATCTATCTATCTATCTATCTATCTATCTATCTATCTATTTCTATCTCTATATCTCTATATCTATCTATATCTATCTATATCTATCTATATCTATCTATCTATATATCATCTCTCTCTCTAATCTGTATCTGTATCTCTCTCTATCTATCTTTATATCTACCTATCTATCTCTATCTCTATCTAATCTATCTGTATCTCTATCTATCTATCATTATCTATATCTATCTATCTATCTATCTTTCTATCTATCTCTATATCTATCTATCTATCTATCTATCTATCTATCTATCTATCTATCTATCTATCTATCATTGATCTATCTATCTATCTATCTATATCTATCATCTATCTAATCTATATCTCTATCTAGGGGTGGGATTCAAATGTCTTAACAACTGGTTCTGTGGGCATGCCTAATTTGTGGGTGTGTCTTGGTGATCCTGGGTAGGTGTGGCTTGTAGGTAAAGACTGTAAATATTTATGTAAATATTTATTTTTTTATTTAAAAAAGAGCAACTTTTACCCAAAATCAGGCAAAGCAGGCAAGCAGATTGAGTTGCTCACAGAATCACAGATTCACTTAGAGATCTACCTTTCTTCAATCTGCTACCTGAGTCTGTCACATAAAATTTGCTTGCAAGCAAACTCATAAAATTTGCTAGCAAACACAAAATTAACTCACAACACACCATGTATATAAATATTGATTTATTTTTTTTATCAAAAAAGAGCAACTTTTATCCAAACTCAGGCAAAGCTGGGAGGCAGATTGAGCTGTTCACAGAATCACAGATTCACTCAGAAATCTACCTTTCTGCAATCAGCTACCTGAGTCTGCACTGAAAAAATAGAAGCTTCGGTCCTAAGGAAGGTTCAGCTCTGCTTTTAGATTAGCTAGAAAGCAAGAAATCCAACGATTTCCTGCTTTCTAGCTAATCTAAATCTCCCGGCACAGCAGAACAGCTGATGGTCCGGGGGGGAAGGAAAAATAGCAATTTAGCAGGCAAGTTTGCCAGGTAAGGAGTGAGTGGGCAGGGACGGGAGGCGCCAGCCAGTGGCACGATTTGCCAATTCTCTGAACTGTGCAGAATCGTAACAACCGGTTCTATAGAACTGGTCCGACCAGGTAGAATCCCACACCCTATCTCTATCTCTATCTCTATCTCTATCTCTATCTCTATCTCTATCTCTATCTCTATCTCTATCTCTAACTGTCTGTCTGTCTGTCTGTCTGTCTGTCTGTATCTATCTATCTATCTATCTATCTATCTATCTATCTTACACACACATACACACACACACACACACACACACCATACAGTCAGAGCTAAAGAAGCTCAGCGTCTTCCTACAGACTCAATTTCCTGACTAGGTCCACCTTCTCGGGTTGACCTCGGCCTTCCGAGTTTTCCCATCCTTCCCTCTCCCTCCTGGGATCACACTCCGGATCCCCTCCGGAGTCTCACTCCATCCTGGGCCCTCCTCCTTCCCAACAACCCCCCTACCTTGAGAAACCATTCCCCTGCATTCAGCTTTTCCAAGATATCCCAGGTGAAGTAAGCGGGGTCTTCGCCCCTCAGTTGGGGATAGAGGCGCTCAATATCAGTGGTCCTGGTCAAGGAATGATCGTGCATCAGGAAGGGCACGCCGTCGTAGCTGTCGCAAAAGAGAAACAGGTGGGACCGCAGGTTTGCCCCGTGTTTATCCGGAAGATCAAAATTAAAGTGCCATGCGTGGGAAGAAGAAAAATAGGCTATTGATCTATCAGATTCAATAAGGCCTTTGGATGAGAGCAGACACCAGAATAAAAGAGACATGAACCAACGTTTTAGACAGGATTATTTCAAAATGTACCAGAGCTATTCGTAATCCTGATTAACGTACATTCAAAGTGACAATAAAGTTTCTTATTCTATGCTAAAAGGTTGTCCCATTTTACGACTTTTCTTGCCACATCTGCTAAGCGAATCGCTGCCGTTGTTCAAGGGAGGAACAACGGTTGTTAAGTGAATCTGTCTTCTCCCCTCCCCCACACTAACTTCATTGGTCAGAAAGGGATCCCATGACCCTGGGACATTGCGACTGTCGTAAATACAGACCGGTTGCCAAGCATCCGGATTTTGATCATGCTGACCAGGATCCAACCAGGATCAACGTGCTGCCACAGTCTTAAGCGTGAAAAACAATTACGAGTCGCTTTTTTTTTTCAGTGCCATCGTAAGTTGTGAACGGTCATTAAACAAACTGATTGTAAGTCAAGGACTATCTCTAAATAGTCAACCCAACAAACCAGGTTTTTTTGTGGGTGAGAAGATTTTGCAGGGCTGACTTAAGGCCCGCTTAGCCAACTTCACAAAGTTAAGATAGGAAGTTTTTTTTCTTAAGGAAATGCTGCTGGTTGCAGAATTGTGGCTAAAGAAATAAGCCATGATTGTGATGGGCCATCATCTGCTAAAATAAAACCAGGTCATGGCTCACACTTCAAAGTAAATCAGGAATCCTGTAATTGTGGAGTCTGCCTGGCAAGAACGAAGAATCCTTATCCGCAGAAGAGATGCAGACGTACATCTTGTACCAATCCTGGCTAATTGGAAAGCTGATGAAAGTACTACGAGTTAGCCAACTTGCAGACCTCAGCTAAAAGTTAGGAATAGAGTTAGCCTGAGCAAACAAAATATGTATTAGATAACTCCTGGGGCATTCATTAGCCAAGACCTAGGAATAGGGACAGCTAGAAACCAATAGAACAAATTGTAGAATTATTACTAAAATGTTTATTAGGTGATATTTGTTACTATCTCATTTCGTCCCACCTTATAAAACTTACTCAGTCCTTTGTTCTTGGCTCTTGGCATTTCGGCCAGGAGCCCTTTTCCTTGCAGGACTCCAATAAAAAGCCACGAGAAAAACTGCACCTCGTGTCTGGCGTTCATGGTTGGCTTCGGCACCAGGCTCAGGCCCAAATTGGGGACATCAATCGAGCGACCCAACATGCTTACCTAATGGTGACGTCGGTCTCCAGGCCGATAGCGCCGTGATCGATGGTTTTGGCAAACGACATCCTGGTATTCTCAGGAGCTAGCTAGGATTAAAAAATAAAACATTCAGAATTTGGAAAGAGTCAGTGACTTCGGGGCTTAGTTAGCAGATGCATCTCACCGTACAACTACATTTTTAAAAAAGGATATATATTTTTATTTATACATATTTTGAAAATTGTGTATTGTTCAGGCGTTTCATTTCACCAAAAACAACAAAAACAAATATAGTAGCAGTGATGATAATAATAATAATAATAATAATAATATATAGTAATTATAACAATAATTATAGTTTTATTAACTTACTAGTATTAACTTTATTAGCTTACTAGTAGTCCATGCTTCGCTATGAAACTATGTGAGTCAGGCTTAGTTTTTTGGGGGGGAAGATAAGGAGAAAGAAATTCTGCCTCTGCCTACCAGAATCCATCAGTATTCATCCAGCTTTCATCCTGTCAGTGTGTGAGAGAGTTGAGGGCTGTTTGAAAACTAAAACAGTATTTGCTGTGTGAGCAAGAAGGAGACAGCAAGGAGTCTGGGCGTGGCTTAGCTCAACTGTTCTGTACTAAAGCTGCTTGGTGCTGTGAAACTGAAATTCCTCTGCTTGTGTTTTGCATTTAGAACAGGTTTCTTTTCAGGTGGGGAGGGGGAGTAGAACTCCTTAGCATCAGAGCGTGTTAATAATAATAATATAGAAAATATTCTAAATGCTCTGATGGTCATTTGTTAAAATCCTTTCTTAGTGAGCACCGAGAAGCCAAGAGAAACATAGGTGCCAAATGTCAAGTTTGTAGGCTTTATGGTTCTGGAGATTTTGTGATGATGGTATTTTGCTTTTATATATAGAGAGAGAGATTTGTGCTTCTATTAATTATACTGGCATACTTATAGTCATACATACTGTTCATTTTTTAAATCTTTTAAATACACATAAAAATAATCTTTCTTCTTCTAACTAACTTCTACCTCTTGTATCTAACCACTGATAAAACTATCCCATGATAAATAATACTCTGTATTACTTTATGTTTATTTTTTATTTCTATCTATCCATCTCTGCATGATCCAATATTTTCCGAATTATGCTTTCACCTGGTGGGGTGTTTTCATTTTTCCAATATTGTGCAAATACAATTCTCGCTGCTGCCAATACGTGAAGTATTAAGTATATAATCCCTTTATCATAGCTTTCTGGTATTATACCTAACAAAAATATTTCTGGCTTTAAATCTATATGTTGCTTAATTATCTTTTCCAATCAAGTGTGTATTTTAGTCCAATATTCTCTTGTCTTCCTACACCAAAATTACATTAAGCTGTTTTTAAGTGACATGTAGTCCTTGACTTACGACTATAACAGAGCCCAAAATTTCTGGACTAACTCCCAGAATTCCTCCAGTTTAAGACTTGTGGACTTCAACTCCCAGAATTCCTCCACTTTAAGACTTGTGGACTTCAACTGCATGGCTGGCTGAGGAATTCTGGGAGTTGAAATCCACAAGTCTTAAACTGGAGGAATTCTGGGAGCTGAAGTCCACAAG